CGGTGCGCGCCCGGGATCCGAACCAGCGAACCCCGGGCCGCCGCAGCGGAGCGCGCACCCAACCGCTTGCGCCACCGGGCCGGCCCCTCTTCCTCTTTTTATAAGGACACTAATCCCACTTGTCTCTTCCTCTTTTAATAAGGACACTAATTCCATCATGGAGGTCCCACATTCATGAACTCATCTAATCCTAATTACCTCCAAAAGGCCCCATCTCCAAATACCACCTTGGGGGTTAGGATTTCAACATACGAATTTTGAGGGGAACATAAACATCCAGTCCATAACCCTCTCCATAAATCTACATAGCAATTAAAACACAGCAGTGAAATTAATCTTTATCATAAAGTCATTATTGCAGTGAAATTTACTGATGTCTCTGTCCTTGCATTTCTACTCTTAAAGAATTATTAAAATAGTTAACTGAATTATACAATATTATTACTAGGTACTACTTTGTAGCTTAGATAATGACACCATATCACTCTCTTTTTCATCTCATACTTTATTCATCTCCTCACCTCATACTTTATTCATCTTCTCATGATATGCCATTAATACAAGATAGGTAGAGAATATATTTTAAGAATTAAAATACCAAAGTAATTATGTCATGTATACCAGGAATATAATATAGTTTACTTTCTATTAAATGAAAGATATTATTATTATAGAAGTAATGATTGAAATGACTTTATTTTCTACAATTAATTTAGTCATTCAGAAATTATTTATTGATCACCAGCGCCAGGTACTCTGCAAGATGCAAGGGAATACAATAAGGACAAAATATATTCTGTATCCTCCCAAAAGTTACTTTTCACCTAAAACCTGATAGATATGGTTATTGATTGATTATATCCTGGAGGAATAAGTAAGGATGAAAAACAACCAGCAGAAAAGAAACATAATGTATCCAAATGTGAGATTCAACTTCTCTGGAAAAATAAAGTAACCAAAATTACCATGAAGTCTATTAATCAACAGATCAAATTCAGTATGCCTCTTCACTACTCAAATTTCATCACTATCAAGTAGACATTTTCAACAATAGCAGAGTGTGAAACATAAAGAAGGAGTTTAATACGATATAATTTTAAATTTCCTATAATTAAATAAAAGTCTGTCTTTTAAATTAAGAATATAATATCAACTCTTTGGGAACATAGAGACAGAAAGGAAAAAACTTTAGCATAATTGTATAAAGTTCAGTAGGCTATATAAGTAGAGTATAAAATGACACTATAATGACTCTAAAACACTAGAAGGATTTTTTTTTGCCTGTTCACAAAATGCATAGATATAAATGCCAATGAATATGAGATAAGCTGTTCTCATAATACAAATAAAAAAACTATAATTTCACTTTCCAAACACCACTCTTTAGCCTATTTATTTGATGCTATGGACTTTACTCATGTTCTTTGTAAAACAGATCTTACTTAAACACTAGAAAATAAGCAGATATTAGCACTCTGTTCACTATGCCCATGTGTAGAATACAGCATATGACACTAGGTTGGCATTCATCATACTGGATACTTGTTTAACGTATTCATAATAAATGTCTTAATGCACTTTATAGTTGAGATAAGATATATACTGAAATCAGTTTAATATGTTAATAAATTAAGAAATATAAGTTCTATATAAACCTACTTTATTTCAATATATAGTATAACATAAATCTTTCCTTTTGGATAACTTCTTCATAAACATTGTTTCAGTGGCTACATACACATGGATGTATCATTTCCCTATTATTAAACAATTGTTATTTCTAAATTTTTAGCTAAATACATATAAAGAGAGAATAATTTACATAAATGTTATCTTTTATTATTTTTTTCCATAAAATAGCAGCCCAGAGTAAAAATTACGAGGTCTAAAGTATTACTATTTAGGTTTTCTATTTTTTTAATTAAACATAAAGGGGTTAGAACAATTTACATGGCCATCACTTACATGTGAGAACTCTCATTTAACTTCACAGTTTCCAGGATTGAATACTGAACAGTGTGTGTGTCTCTGTGTGTGTTTGTATGTGCTACACTTTTTATAATCCTTTCTCTAATGTATAAAACTCTTTGGGATTAATAGTGCTATATGGTATGGTATGAGAACTTATACTGATTTCTCCAATGGTATATATAAAAAAAGAGCCCCTATCATTCAAAGAATAATCCAAACCTTCCTCAGAAATGTGTGTTGCCACCTTTCCATATACTAAATTCAGCCATATAGACTTATTTAGACACATCTGCCTCTGGCCAAGATGGAATAATAGAGGCTATATATATCTTACCATCTGAAACACCTAAAAAATGAGACAAAAAGTATGAAACAATGACTCAAGACATTGGAAATCAGGCAACAAAGAACATCGATCCATGAGAGATGAAAAACACATAAGGTAAGTCCTACGATTTCCCCAGCTTACTGCACGGAGAAAGTTTCCAGGCTATGGTCCTGGGAGGTGGAACTCAGCCAGAATCCAGCAATCTCACTGAGTTGAGGAGAAATAGATGAGAATGTGGTGAAATGAAAGTGTCTAGTGGTTGCAGTCCAGAGCACTGGAGAAGAGAGAGCTCCACAGAAAGAACCAAAGATACCCGCAAAAAATCCTTACAATTGAATTGAGCACTTACAACTACCGAAGACTGAGGATAGAGTCACCCACAAAGCTTAGAGAGAACAGTGCCTGTAGCTCACAGAAGAGCCAAAAGCGAGGGAGGGAAATTTTGTAATTCACAGGACATCACTTAGATTACTAAGAAGTGTCTCATCTTATAGGTGGGGGAAAAATTAAAGCTAGAATAAATGCTGCTTTGGTAGTTCTATCCTTAATTTTTTGAGGAATCTCCATACTGTATTCCATATGCTCTCACTCATTAAGTAGTAGATAATAACAACAACAAACAAACACATAGACACAGAGATTGGATTGGTGGTTACCAGAGAGGAAGAGGGAGGGAGGAGGGCGAAAGGGATAATTAGGCA